TGTGCACCTGTAATCCCCGCTACTCGGGAGGCTGAGGCAGGAGAATCACTTGAACCCGGGAGGTGGAGGTTACAGTGAGCAGAGATGGCGCCACTGCACCCTAGCCTGGTGACAGAGTGAGACTCTGTCTCAAAAAAAAAAAAAAAAAAAGAAACCGAAGGCTAGAATTATGGACATGACGTTTTCCCTCTCCTTGAGGAATAGCAGGACAGTTTCTGGTAGAAAGAGTGCAATGCATAAAAACAGTACTGCACTCAGAATTGTAAAGTGTTTGAACCGGTTCTAGATCTAGCTTTAAGTATTAGCCCTGACACAAATAGAGTACCATTTTGTCCCTTCACACACAAAAACACCCAGACTTATTCGATTCAGGCTCAGCACAGCCATGTGTGCCCGACACACCCATGCTTCCCAGCAGTCATAACCAGCTGCAGGCTGCTCCCCTCATGAGCAGTGGCCCAGGCCAACCACCTCATCTACTTCCTTCACTCCACTGTGACCAAGAATGGCTCCATCCTGATTGACAGAGCTCCTCCTTAACCCAGAACTGAGACTCCTACCTGCCCTCCCTTAGCGAGCACCCGGCTAGTGGTTGAGGAGCAGGTTAGAGGTGGGTGGTGGTTTCTTGTTCAGTTATAGGAGGACTCGGATTCTCTCCATACTGAATTGGGCACCTCAAAAACTCCATCTCCCTGGCTCCCCAACTCCTGTCATTTGGAAGCGAAGGTTTAATTACTGGAATCTCCAGGTTTCTGGAACTGCCATCCAGAAATGATTCTGAGAGAATATCTCCGTAGCACAGCCTAGATAGGAATAATCGTCTAATCTTGAATTTATATAAAAAGATAATTTTGTACTCCATTGCAATTTCTAAAATAATTTTTAAAAACTGTGTACTTAAAGCTATTTTTTGCATACGTATGTACTAATGGATATGATGGCCTTTACTTAATGCTATTTTAGGCATGTGTGTGTGGTAACAGTACAATGGCTTTTGTGAATAAATTAAAGTGAAATTATTTGATAATAACCTAGAGCACCTTTCTCACCTCAGGCTTTTCACCCTTTTGTGCCAGCTTAACTTCTGCTCCTTTTCCAGTCTGTTCCTCAGGGAGGCCTTCCCTTACTGTCTGGGTCAGGTGACTTCCCTCTGCCATGCTTTTTCTTCTTCTTCTTCTTCTTCTTCTTCCTCTTCCTCTTCCTCCTCCTCTTCCTCTTCCTCCTCTTCCTCTTCCTCCTCTTCCTCTTCCTCCTCTTCCTCTTCTTCCTCTTCCTCTTCTTCTTACTATTATTTGAGACAGAGTCTCGTTCTGTCACCTGGGCTAGAGTGCAGTAGTACGATCTCAGCTCACTGCAACCTCTGCCTCCTGGGTTCATGCCATTCTCCTGGCTTAGCCTCCTGAGTAGCTGGGATTACAGGCACCTGCCGCCATGCCCAGCTAATTTTTTTATTTTTAGTAAAGACTGGGTTTTGCCATGTTGGCCAGGCTGGTCTGAAACTCCTGACCTCAGGTGATCCATCTGCCTCTGCCTCCCAAAGTGCTGGGATCATAGATGTGAGCCACTGCACCTGGCCGTGTGCTTATTATTTTAATTTTTACTAATTATTATTAAAGACTTACTGGTGTCAAAGAAGCAGCCAAGAGGCTCCGGGATCATATGGCACATATTTGAGTCTTGGCTGCGTCTCTTACTTGCTTTGTGATGTTGGGAATTTGTTTCAGTTTTCAGTGTCTCACTTTGCCTACATGTAAAAGAAAGTAATGATGGTATATTACCTGTAGAGTTGTAGCAAGAACTAAATAAAAAATACTCCAAAAAATTCACACAGAGCCTGGCACATAGATACTTCCATAAATGCAAACTATAAAATGTCCTTACTGCCCACTAGACTGAACTGTAAGCTTCATGAGAGGAAGCTTTATGGTTGTCTTGCTCATGACTCCGGAAGGCTGAGAGCCTACTGCTTACTGATTTCTTAAATGCCCACTAAAAGAAACACGTTTTCTTGCACTTACCTGGGTCCCTGGACTTCTAGAAGTCATGAAATCAAATTTGTGGAGTGAATCTCAACAACAAGCCATCTAAGGTTGGAAGCTTAATTTAGTCTTACTTTTACTCTTTCATTATTTTTTATTAATATATTAACATCTTTATTATCTTTAAGATAACATCTCTTATCATACCTTTATCATAACTTTCCTATCCCCTCCCCAAACTCTTATTGATACGTTGTATAAAAGGAATAGTGGCCAGGTACAATGACTCATGCCTGTAGTCCCAGCACTTTGGGAGGCCAACGTGGGTGGATCACTTGAGGTTAGGAGTTCCAGACCAGCTTGGCCAACACTTGGTCAACACGGCGAAACTCCGTCTCCACTAAAAATACAAAAATTAGCTGGGCATGGTAGCGCGTTCCTGTAATCCCAGCTACTTGGGAGGCTGAGGCAGGAGAATCGCTTGAACCTGGGGGGCAGAGGTTGCAAGGTTGCAGTGAGCCAAGATGGCACCACTGCACCCCAGCCTGGGCGACAGAGCAAGGCTCTGTCTCAAAAAAAAAGAGAGAAAAAGAAAAAGAGAAAAGAAAATAGCTTCACGAGTTGGAGATCAGTGTGTCCAACATAGCAAAATCCCGTCTCCACTAAAAATACTAAAAATTAGTCGGGCATGGTGGCACCCCAGCTACTCAAGAGACTGAGGCAAGAGAATTGCTTGAGCCTGTGAGATGGAGGTTGTAGTGAGCTGAGATTGCGCCACTGCACTCCAGCGTGGTCAATAGAATGAGACTCCAACTCGGAAAAAAAAAAAAAAAAAAAGAAAAGAAAAGTAAAAGAAAATGGGTAACACATTGTTAATCAAAGTCTATAGTTTGCATTAGGATTCACTCTTGATATTTATTCTATGGATTTGACAAAAGTATAGTACCACGTATCTTCCATTATAAATACAAAGTTGCATTTATTTTTCTACTTCTTGGTCCATATCACTCTTAAGAAGTAGTCAGAGCTCTTCCTGGTCACAGCTCTTGAGCCCAATATACCATCTGCCTCCTCCTCCTATTTTAGCCATCTCAAATCTTTTATAGTCTCACAGCCTCAAATGTGTTGGCACTGAATAGGACCTTAGGGATCCAAGGCCCGCTCCATCATTTTACAGATGAGAAAATTGAGCCTCAGAAAGGGAAGTAATTTGCCCAACATCCGGAACGAGTTAATGCAAGGGCTGAGACCAGACCACTGGACTCTTAATCGAGCTCTTCTGCCAATATGCCACACCCCCATTGCTTTGCATTGACATCATTCAACTTTTTAAACATTTTCTTTAACACATTATAAGTCTTCTTTTACTAGAGAACATTAACATTTCCTTTAGGAGATGGTAAACTGACCAGGTTTTCTTGCTTTCTTTTTCTTCTCTTTTTCTTACTTAGGGAATCTATTTAGGTTACTCTTTGGGTCTGAATCGGGTCTGTAGAACTGAATTGCTTGGTGAAGTTAGGCTAATATTCAGCTAGAAATTAACCCACGCAAGTTGTGCAGTGATCTGCTCAGATAGTTAGCAATGATGCCCCAAATTCCCAAATCATACAGGGAGCATTGAGATCCAACATTTAGCCTTTCTAAAATGAATTTTAGATAGTCTTTTCCTGGAACATTCTCTTAAGGATTGCTTTGATAGTTATATGGAAAAAAGGTATAATGCTACTGACTTAAACAGAAGATAGGTTAAAAATCTGAAGCGTCATTATATCTTTTAGCAGGCAAGCTCACAAATGGAGTGTTTGCAAATGGAATTTACTGATTGAAATGGGTAAGAAACATTGATAACTTTAGTATCAGAGAATGCTCTGGTATAAAAAGCTAGGCTACCTCTTAGGGAAGTTACATGTTTCAACCTTGAGCAGGGTCATCCAGCCTCTTCCAAGGCCACATGGTGGCTGATGCAGAAGGGACAGGTCATTTCCAGCTCACTCACACATTATACCAAGAAGATACTGCATTTATTCATCAACTAAAAATAATCAGTAATAACATGTCATTAAAAAATAGCAGTGAAACACCAAGCAATAAAGAAAAAGCGATCTTTATGTTCAAAGCATAAGACATGATAAAAGTCATAAATTGCTAAACTTATGTAGTAGCCATTAAAAAAATTATCTGTCACAGCAGAAACCAATTTTTCCACCATGCAAAATGTGACATCATCTCTAAAGGCCCCTGCTACGAGAGGCATTTGCCAGTATTGTGGGTGTATTCTTAAAGGCTAATTAAAAATTTTCGGCCCTTAGATTTCAACACTACAGTTTTGCTACAGCAAAGTGAAATGGGGAAACTTAAGTCTGATGGGCTATGCCAGATGCCAAGGGTCAAAATTCCGGGCTCTCTTATAATCCAAATGACACATACAATATTTATTACAGAGCAGCAGGAGTTCATTATTTCATCAATAGGCTGAGGGATTAGATGATTTTTTTTTCAATTGAATAACTGGTCTACAATAATGGAATTCCATATCAGGTGTGGAATAAGCCAGTGGTCTGTTCTTTTGTACCTCCAGTTAGTGCAGTAAACAAGGTGCCAGAATGATGGGCTGAACAGGATGGAAAGAGCATGCCTTTTAATGGTTTCCAATAGTGGTTTTGATAGTTACTTGAGATCATAAAGTAAACATTAAAAGGACTACCTTTGCCAGATTTCATGTGCTTAGGTGACTAGAATGTATAGCTGTGGCAAAGAAAAAAAAAATTAAGGCACCTGTAAGGGGGCGGCTCTGTTTCTTTCTTCAGAGTAATGTTAACATTTTCTCCATATTTCCTGAATAATTTGCCCTTAAAAAGCTAGGAATGTTGACTCCTACAAATACAATTGGAGTGGATGCTGTGTATAAATTCAGGATGCCCTGGTACCTTCAGACTCTCCCAAGAAGCAGGGGAGATACTAAAAATATTTAACAGCTAGTAAGGTACAAAATGACCAATCGAATTGAATCCTGGCCAGGATGCTTTACCTGCAGGCAGAATGTAAGCCCTGCCAGGCCTTCTGTTGAGACATCTTGGGATTTGGCGGTCTTCGTCTCTGAACCCACCGATGTTGGGAGAATGCTCAGATGACTCTGAATCTGGGAATTACCCCAGAGTTGCATGTTCGTTTCCTGCATATTTTTGTATTGTGGGTTAAAAAAGCATGAATGGCATGGCGTGTTAGTAAGAACTCTGGATGAAATGGCCAAAAAATTTGCATTCATGTCCCAACTCTGCTACTTGCCAACTGCATGACTGTGGATAGTACACATGCTCTCCCACTTAACCATAGAATGAAGGAATTGGATGAAAATTCTCTTTTGCTCCACGGTTCACTTCAGCTTCACATTTATGCTTGCTCGGAGATAATTAATAAAACCTTCCAGCTTTTTGAATTGTGAAAGTGCATACTCTCCTGCCAGTGGAAATTTCTGATTGTTACACAGTCTCACCCCAGAGATGGACTTGCTTTACCTTCACGAGATCCATATTTCTGTGGGGTGAGTACTATTAGCTAAAAAGTTTGTCGAGTGTTCAGTGTTCTCTTCTATCTTACAATCTTCCATATCATGTCCCATGAAATTGGCACAGTTTCTTAAGTGGGAAACATTACATGTGTAGGCTTTAGACCATGCCTCTGAAGGAGAAATGCCACATGGGCAGAAAGTTTTGAAGCAAGTGTACTGGAGTGAATTGTTGATCTCCTTCCTGTACTGCCAACCTTATTATGCACATTTCGGAAGAGGAATCAGTTGACTAATTATGTCACTTTTCTTGTGTTTCTTAAAAGTCATTGAGTACAGAAGAACTGGCCTGGATCTATCCATTACTCTAAGCAGTGGTAAGCAAAGACTTCTATCTACATCTACTTATAGTGTCTGCCCAATTGCCCTGATGGCCAGCCCTGCTCCAACCCTGCTCCACCAACCCTGCTCCTTCTTGCTACTGCTTTTTACTGCGGGTTAAAAATGTCCATTGCCTGACAATTGTAGTGAGGGAGAAAAACTGTTCCTGCCTTCATCACATGTGGGTAGGTGGACAGGGGTTTGCTTGCCAAGTCCAAATCTTTGTGTGGGGTAAATTACTTCTTACTCTGATCGTAAAATAAGCATCTGACATTTCCTGCAAATGCTCTATTTCTTAATACAGAGTTAACCTGCCAAAAACATTGTGTTTATAATCTAAATATTTGGATCATAAGCCAAAAGGGTGGGGGAGTCTGTCTTCCTCCATATTTTGCACAGTGATGTGTCCAAAAATGTTAATTATGATAATAATAAATAATCAAAAAAGAATATGTTGGGGGGAAAGTGTGAGGAGTCAGGAATGCTAAATTGCATTAGTTATGAGAATTATTTACAGGAGAAAAATGAAAAGATGCCTTTGGATTGCCCATCCCACTGCAGACTAGGAAGTTTTTGTACCCACAAGACATGCTTCATTCTGGGACAGGTGAAAGTGTCGTAAAGACTGATGCCAGGGTATTGGCTGGAACACCACTCACAAGGTGTGAAGCTTCCTGAGGGTCTAGTGGGGATTATGTTTTGTCTGGGAACAGGTTGAAAACCCAGAGCACTGTCTCTGGAGTCAGACAGACTTGGGTTTGGGTCAAGATTCTAACAGTTCTAAGCGGCCTCTCCTAGCCCATTTCCTCATCTCTGTTACAGGGTTAATAAAGGCTTCTGTGTCAAAGCGCTCGTATGAGCGTTGAATGAGATTGTATGTGGAAAGTACTTGGCATGGTACTTGCATGCAGAAGTACTCAACAAATGTAATGATGGTGGCGAGGCTCACTGGAATCTCCCTCCTTTAATTGACAGCTGCGCTGGGCCTTCCCTGATGCTCAGGACCCGGTGCCCGGGGCATGCCTTCTGTTGTACCTTCACTCCTGCAGAGGCATGCCTGTTTCTTTCGTGGACCATATGTCTCTTTTTCTGAGACAGCCTCAGCTTCGAATATTCTGATCCATTGTTTCCATAAAACAGTGAAATAACAGAGAAGCCCAGTATTTGATATATAGTAACTGAATGATTCAGGTCAATAATACAATAAAAACATGTGTCACCAAAAAATGAGTCACAGGCTGAAGAATTTATGCATTAATGAGGACACATGTGTGCATGCTAGCCCATATTCCATACAATTACATGTGTGAATGTGCTGTTGTTTTAGCTGTGAAGGTGAAGAATGTTATACTTTTAAAATCTTGCCACATTAGGGGCAATGCAGAGGCGATGGACTGTAATTGGGGGGAGAAACAGTGACTATTCCTACTATGCACTTGGGGAATTTAAAATAAGTTGAAAATTGTTTCAGAGGGTCAGAATTATTTTCCTTAAAATTTTAATTTAATGTTATTTTAACATCAAAACAAATGTAGAATGATTGCTAAAATTTGATTGGATAAGACATTTTGTAAGAATTCACAAAATCACAGCAAATTTAATCTTGAAACTGTGTCTAGACTTTTTATTTGGGAATTATGATTAACATATTGCTAATCAAAATTCCTGAAGCAGAGGCCTTTGTCTATACTGAAGACTTAAAGGAGAGTGAGATGTATTTATCTGAGATGATGGCCACAAAGCCCAAGTGACTTGCATTTGATAGAATGATAATGGAGTAGCATTCTTAAGCCTGTGATTAATTGCAACAAGCCTTGGAAAGCTACTTGAAAATCTATGCTTTGTTTATAGTATTTATTTCTTTGATTCAAGAATTGTTCCAATTGCAAAACTCTCCTAGGGCACATGTTCAAATGATTAATATATTATTTATATGGAAAATAACCTAGAATAACAACTAAACTAAGAGCAAATAGTTGCCTTAGTACCAACCTATGGCACAAGAACAACTAGGATAAAAAGAAGATGCTTTGTGTTCTTAGCTTTGTGTTCATACATGGTGAGGTATCCTCAGAATTTTGTATTATGGTACCCCTCTGGGGGCTGAGATAGAAAGTTCCCTAATGATGGAGACTAACAATCTTTAGTAGCAATGGAAGAGACTGGGCGTTTTATACATATATGGTCATGATTTGGAAACTTGTGAGGAAGGCCAAAGTGGATTGGGTGTGGTCTCAGTGTAGCACAATGGAATCTGGTGGCTTAAACCTAGCTGTCCACATTTCACTATCTGAAGAGCAGAAAATGTGTTAACAGAAGCCTGGTGAGCAGAGGAGACTGAAGATGGAGAGAGAGCCTGGACCTCAACATGAGCATTTGGAGCCATTTGGCAGCATTAGGCTGTGACCGCTTGGAGAACCGAAAGGTAAGATCTTCTGATTAGCTCCTCTTTTTCCGAGTTCATGTTTGCAAAGCACTTTCTAACTATAAAAGTTTCCTATTTAAGTTTTCAAATAGGGAGAATCTGCACTGACCAATGTTGGGTGTATTCATCAACTTGGTTTTAGTTGTCAGTGTAAATTAACTCACTGTCTGGGTAGAGGGGAAAATGAAATGACTTACTCTGTGCCAAGGAGAAACAGTGAAAAACAGACCTCAGAAGGCTTGGAACTCAGGCCTGCTCTATCACTTTCTCTATCTCTAACTTGCTTTCATTAGCTTGTAGAAGCTTGAGAGACGCACAGACACATCTTGCAACATCTTCTGGCTTCTCGATGTGCAAACGTTTATGTGACTGTGGGAGCCATGCGTGTATGCATGTTGGGATACCCCCCATCTCCTCCTCCCTGGCAGTGTCCCTGCTCTCTTTAGGTCCTCATGAGCTGCCTCCATTCCCATCCATGGATGCTGTGTGCAGAAGTGGGCCACTGGCCCTGGGCTCCACAGCTGGCTTTGAGCTCTGATCTCTGCGTTTATTTCACTCTGTAATCTCAGTCCCAGCAGACCTCTCATCTTCCTGGGTGATTGAGTATAGATTCTAGTTTTATTCTTTTAACACTTTTATTTACTGATGAAGGAAATTCCTAATTTATTTTCTATTGGGGAAAAAATATGGACAAACCCTATAAAACCAGAAGATTGGCAACTACTGCCATTTTGAATCCCAGTTCTACAGAGTTTGGAGAATTATTAAATTTTTCTAGTTAAAAGAGACTTTAGAGGTCTTCTAGGCCAATGAGAACAAAAAGAAATACATTTTATATTGCAAAATGCACACACATCCACCCACCAACACAAACAAATATTCGTACACATACACACAACTGAAATAATTTTTTTTTTTTTTTTTTTAAGATGGAGTCTTGCTCTATTGCCCAGGCTGGAGTGCGGTGGCAGGATCTCGGCTCATTGCAAGCTCTGCCTCCCGAGTTCACGCCATTCTCCCACCTCAGCCTCCCGAGTAGCTGGGACTACAGGAGCACACCACCACACCTGGCTAGTTTTGTTTTTGTATTTTTAGTGGAGATGGAGTTTCATCGTGTAAGCCAGGATGGTCTCGATCTCCTGACCTCGTGATCCACCTGCCTCGGCCTCCCAAAGTGCTGGGATTACAGGTGCGAGCCACTGCACCCGGCCAATCAAAGTTTTTAATGAAATAAACTGCTTACTGCAGTTATTACTTATATTGATATTTTCTATTCTATTTCGTGAAAACGACTACTGGTCACTAAACAATTAAGTTGGTTTTAGAGTCACCTAATTGTGTGTGTTGGGGGTGGACTTGCTGTGTTTAACCCTTAACCTCTGCTTGAGTCCATCTCCTAATTCCTCTCTTCTTCCAGTTGTAGGAGCAGGGACCAAATGCGACTTATCCACCTTATCTGTCACTGAACTGGGGCGTTATGACGACTAATGCAGAAGGGACACAAAGTAAGCTAGGAAGGCTGGCATGAAAATAGAGAAATGGAATAAGTGCCTGAGAGCAGAAACAAACTTGGTAGGCAGTAATGCAGCCTCAGGCAGGGCTGGCAAGAATGTTTTGAGCATCCTTTAGAGATCTTCAATGCTGTCAGTTTTCTACATGTCATTGAGCTCCAATTCCCTTATCCTGGGCACAGTAGAGCCTCCTCTGAGAGAAACTAATGTTGCTAACTGAAGGTCATGGCCAAAATCATGGTGTGCACACACCCCCAGGGTCACATTCTTTCTGATTCAGTGATAATTATACTAAAATAATAATAGAAATAACTGCTTTCTTTCTTTCTTTCTTTCTTTCTTTCTTTCTTTCTTTCTTTCTTTCTTTCTTTCTTTCTTTCTTTCTTTCTTTCTTTCTTTTTCTCTTTCTTTCTCTCTCTTTCTTTCTTTCTTTCTTTCTTTCTTTCTCTTTCTTTCTTCCTTCTTTTCTTTTCTTTTCTTTTCTTTTCTTTTCTTTTCTTTTCTTTTCTTTTCTTTTCTTTTTTCTCTCTTCTCTTTTCTTTTCTGACTGAGTCTCGCTGTGTGCCCAGGCTGGAGTACAGTGGCACGATTTCGGCTCACTGCAAGCTCCGCCTCCCGGGTTCACACCATTCTCCTGCCTCAGCCTCCCGAGTAGCTGGGACTACAGGCGCCCGCCACCATGCCCGGCTAATTTTTTTTTTTTTTTTGTATTTTTAGTAGAGACGGGATTTCACCGTGTTAGCCAGGATGGTCTCGATCTCCTGACCTCGTGATCCGCCTGCCTCGGCCTCCCAAAATGCTGGGATTACAGGCGTGACATCATTTCTTAGTGATTATTATATGCCAGCATGTTATGTACATTATCTTATTTAATTTTTGGATGAATCTTATGAAGTAGGCAATATTTCACTCATATTACAAATGAAATGAATACTTGTGGCAGGGTCCGGTGGCTCACACCTGTAATCTCAGCACTTTGAGAGGCTGAGGCAGGTGGATCACCTGAGGTCAGGACTTTGAGATCAGCCTGGTCAACATGGTGAAACCTCATCTCTACCACAAATAGAAAAATTAGCCAGGTGTGGCGGCACACACCTGTAGTCCCAGCTACTCGGGAGGCTGAGACAGGAGAATCCCTTAAACCTGGGAGGCGGAGGTTGCAGTGAGTCGAGATCATGCCATTGCACTCTAGCCTGGGCAACAGAGTGAGACTCCATCTAAAAAAAAAAAAAAAAGGAGACTTGCAAAGATTAGATAAGTGATTTGCTGAGTGTCACACAATTAGTAAGTGGCAGAGGTAGGATTTGAACTTCAGTCTGCCTCCTCTGTTGTGTCTATTCAACCACAACACATACATTGTATTGTGTATGCATGAAAGTGTTCAGATGACCTTTAGATTTGAGGGAACACTTTCATTAGGAAGTTGTACCTCCCCTCATTGCAACATTGCCAGTGTTTTCTGGAGATCTGCTGCCAAAATGGATTTTTATATCCTGCTGTTCCAGAGACATGCAAAGAAACCAGACGAAACGTAATAACCTTTCTTTCAAAGGATGTTTTCTGAAGATAGTAGAGAAAGTTTAAAATTCTCCTAATAGAAAACACTGGTATTTCTTTTCTTTTTTTCTTTTTTCTTTTTTTTTTTTTTTTGAGACAGAGTCTCGCTCTGTCGCCAGACTGGAGTGCAGTGGCGTGATATCGGCTCACTGCAACCCCCGACTTCCTGGTTCAAGTGATTCTCCTGCCTCAGCCTCCTGAGTAGCTGGGATTACTGGCACCCACCACCACACCCAGCTAATTTTTGTAGTTTTAGTAGAGATGGAGTTTCACCGTGTTAGCCAGGATGGTCTCAATCTCCTGACCTTGTGATCCACCTGCCTCAGCCTCCCAAAGTGTTGGGATTACAGGCATGAGCCAACGTGCCTGGTGACACTGGTATTTCTATGCATATGCTACCAGCAAAGACTAGACACAAGCTAATGTTTATAGGGGGCAAAAATCCATGTGTTATATGTATGCTTGCACTTCTATTTTCAGAAGATTCTATGGGAGAAAGTTCTTTAGTAAATGAAATCAAAATGTAAACAAAACCTAGCTTGCATGTTGGAAAATGTAAAATGGGAAATTAAAACATAATTGTGAAAGGCAGATAGACTTTTATTTACTTAGTACCATATTATAATGACTGTGATTTAGGCCACGGGCTTTACTTGAATAAAACGAAACCTTGGGATTATAAGTATAAATGTGAGTCCAACGCTTTAATTTGCTAATTATGCTTCCTGGTGATACAGTGAAGCTTATCATCTGTGTGGGTGGTGGTTTATTATGTAATTTTGTTAGCATGAGAAGAAGAGGCTATAAAAATGGTGTAATATTCCCACTTAATATACATATTTTTTAAGCCTGAAGTTAGTAATTATGAATAAAATTAAAATCCATTGCATATTAGTTGTAGAAAATAATATATAAACTTAATTACATCTTCTAGGTAGCAATTATTTATTCTATACTAGTCATCACTAGAGAAACAAAATACGTGACAAAGTATTTGAAAAGGATAGGAGGAGAACCATAGGGCTGTAGAGCCGGGATATAGTATCTTAAAGATGACATTGTTGTTTTTTGGACAGGAAAATAGAGGCCGAGAGTGCTTGGGTAGCGTGCATAGGTCACACAGTGAGCAGTGGCACAGCCCAGGGTACAGAAGCCACGACTCCTTATTGCCCAGGCTGGCGAGTTCTTCAGTGAGTTGTTATTCAGTGCAACAATTAGCTTGGGCAGACTCTGGACCAGAAAGCAGGAAAGGGCCTTGATAATAGCAATCGAGAGAGCAAAAAGCCAATTCACAAGTCTTTCCTGAAGGAATAACAAAACATTTTTTCCCTCAGTGTTTCGGTTTACATGTCCTATGGCACTACATGAATATAATTTATTTAGGAAACTGAGAGGGTTTTCTTATGCAACATATCACAATAATGTCCATCAGTCTCATGAATGAGCTGTGAAAGGATTGCTGACCTCAGGACAGCTTGGCAGTAAGCACCATTAAGCACCCAAATTCTTTATAGAGTTATGCACACCAGCCTGGAGTGAAAATAAGGTTCTCTCCAAGTTAATGATCTTTTTGTGAATAAACAGAATCCCTGACAGTGATCCTCAGCACATGGTTTTCAAGACACCTGAGCCACTTGTTTTTGAAATAGAGCGACATGCTGAAAGCCTAAGGGAAAAATAGCACTTAAAACATAAAAACACAGCAATTCCTATTGAGCAATCCGTCTCCATTGGCGGACCAGAGCTGGAACCATATGTATGAATGGCCGACAACACGGGCATGGGGTTGTGAAGGATGAGATACTGAATAGAAGTGACTCTGAAAAAAAAAAAAAACCAAAGATGAGAATCCCAAGTCAGTCAGTATCCTTCCAAGGAACCCGAACTTTAAAACTCCCACTACCGTTTTTTCTCTTTTCCATAAACACCATATAATATTAGCTAGCCTTTATCGAATAGCCTTCACTGTGGGCTAGATGATGTGCCATGTGCAGCACCCTAAGTGGGTTTTGCAAGGACTCTCTGAAGAGTCCTTATTACCCCCGTTTTACAGATGAGGTTTGCTACTACATCATACAGCTCACATATAAACCTAGGTTTGTTGGACAACAAAATCATCCTCTTTGTGACCAAATTAAAGTAGCATTATTGCTATTATTATTCTCTTCTAGGAATAATCCATTTTAAAATCAGGCGAACAAGTGTTTTCCCTGACATTAGATCACCGGCTAAGTCAGTAGCGGAGGAACTGATGGACTTGGGAAATCTAATATCAATTCCAGACCTAACACACAGTTAAAAAATATTGAGAATCAGACAGCAATCTTTCTTTGGTCATTTGGATACAAGTACTGTTATTTTATAATAAAATGTTTATGTGTTTTTTTAATGTCAGAAATGTGCTTAATTATTTGGTAGGTTCTGACTACTGGATGACGTAGTGGCTCTTCAGCTGGTTAAGACTGATTATCTCCAGTTTATAGCACTAGGGCTTAATTAATTTGCACATTGCGTACAGAATTTGGAGAAGAAAATTCTTAAAAGCTAATGGGCTAGTTTTATATTTAGTCAATATATCTTTAGTGCAACTCTGGGCAACAACATTTCATGCTATATAGCTTAGTACAATAATAGTAAAAGAGAGGTTGTTGATGGCTGTAACTAAGGTTTACATTCTGGCTTAAAGCTTTTGCTTTCTGTTGCTTTATATTAAGTCTGTTTTTAATGGGTGAGAAGGATTTTACAGGCCTGGATGAGGGTGGAGGTTCAAATAAGGACACTGGCAAAGCAGGTGACTAGAATCTGATTGAGAAGTTTGGTATTGGAGTCTGTCCTGAGTTCAGATTCTGAGTTTGCCACTTTTTAAAGCTATTTAATCTTGAACAATTCAACCTATCTGTGCTACAG